GAGAAGATGTGTTTGACATCCTTGCATAACTGATGGTGAATGATTTCACACAATTTGTTTCTACTTGCCTTCAAACTCATTTTTATGACTTATTTCCCTTTATCTGAATACCAATTCCTGTAACAAGTACTGTAATTTTTCTTCTAGATAATGACCTCCATGTTGGTCAGGTGTTCATCCAGTTTTCCTTGGTCCATTGAGCAAATGCTGAGATAGTCCCCTGCTTTGCTTATGGACATTAAATGTGGCTTCATTATCTGGACATGTTTTCTGGAGCTCTGTTTTGTTGTTAAAAATAATGTGACCAGAGTTTTGATATTTTGTTAGTAATAGCTCGTATCTATTGAATGTTGTTGTTGTTGTTGTTTGTTTTTTTTTTTTAAATCAAAGGTCACTAAAAACACACATTGCTACCTTTATTGATTATTCACCTATCGACCACTATATAAATATTGAAGTATAAGTATAGTAAAAAAGAGAGTGGACATTTTGGAGCTGTGCAGTGTGTGGTCTCTCCAAAGTGTGATACTTCAATTTATGCGTGGTTTTTGGCATAAATGAATACCAGGAAAATTTGTTATAAGAGAGGCCACCCAGATATATAATCCATTGTTTTGAAAGCCAGGTGTGATTGCGTAATTTTGTAGTGTAGAATTGATTTCATTGAACATGTTGATAAAATATAAAATCTCATCCAAGTTTGGATTTGTCACCAGAACATGTTGGGACTGAAATTGGAAAACAATATTAAGAACACTATTTCCATCTGGTTACTCCAGCACTTGTGTGCTTGTTCAGTTTGGTCCTAGGTTTTATAGAGTGCACATTAATTGAATTGTGAGGCTTTTCAAATAGTAACACCACATATATTCCAAAGGGCAGGTCATTGATTCTAATAAATCACCAACAAGCATTTAGTTTTAATGTTTTTATTATTAAATACAGAAAATACTTATAAATAACCTAATGAATCATAAAAATTTCCCATCTTCAGGTTTTGTAAGTTGGAACAATTGAGCTATGTTGGAACAAAAAGTAGGAGGATCAGAAAAGCAGAAAATTTTTAATTGTTTTTTCCTGCATAACTTATAGTATGTCAAAAAGTACTAACTTTTACAACAATAAATCATGAATTAGAAACTAATGTTGTTAAACTGTTTATTTTAGTATATGTTGTTGATTTTAACCCACTTCCTTGTGTAATAGAAACAATTTCATGTCTTGGTTCAAAAGTTATCTGGGAACAAATTTATATTCAGACAGCCTTATTACTTAGATTTCTTTATTACAGTGTGTATGTGTGTTTATTATAGTGACAATATTGACTCTTTAAAAGGCTATCTGTTATATTCTTACATGAATGTTATGCAGATCTATACCCAATCTTTGTTATGTACTACTTTCACTATTCATGATCTTTTTGTCCATAGGATGAAGGCAAAGATGTCTACAAACCTGTGAAACACAGTGATGATGAAGAAACTGTAATAATAAATGGTATAGTGAGTATTGACTTTCTGAAAATACTAATTCTGAGGCTTGGTAGTGTAATAGTTTCAACTGTTGAACCCAAGTTTGCGAGTTTGAATCCAGTTGACACTATGGATTTTTAAGAGAGAAAATTTCCTTCCTAAGCTTTGCTTCAGAAAAGAAGTGAAACAAGTTATCTCATGTTGAAGATTGTGATATTTATCTGGTGTAAATGATGCCTGTATGTTAAATTCAAAAATCTTTCATTGTCTCTGGAATTTCTCCTTTCAGTACTAGATGGTGATAATTTAGCAAACTCAATCTGTAATGGATGCTAGTACTGGAAAAGAAGTGAAACCAAATTTGTGGTTGTAAAAGAGATCATCAGGTATCTGATGTAATATACTTCTGCCATAAGAACTCTACAGAACTACTTTTTGCAAAGGCAATTTCTTATTTTTTTCTACATTCACCAGTGATTGAATTTATTGCTTTGAATGTCTTATGTTGTTTAGTTAAGTGACAAAAAAATGATTCGAAATTAGAACATGTATTGAAAGTATTACAAAGGAATAAATAATTATTTGCATTTGAATAATATTTGTAACTTTTCAGTTGGCTAGTAAATACATTATTTGCGTTAAATTATTAAACAGTACATATTTGTCTTCCTCTGATGTACATCTATTGAAGCCAAGGTCAAATTGTGTGGTTTTTGGTGAGAGTTCATATATTTCTAAACTCTCAAGGTGTTCACACTAGTAGTATGCATACACACACCTGTTTTTACAATTCCTAACTAGTTTTTTTATTTATGTATTGATTTACTGGCTTTTGAGTTGCATAGTTATCTAGAAAACCATTATTATGTAAAAGAGCACAGGGAATTTTAGTGCCTTTTCTGTAAATAGTTAAAATATATCAGATGTCCTGTTAAAAAAATTGAATTTGAAATTGAAAATTTAAGACTGAAAATTTATATTGATAATGTCATGATGGGCGATTGGGTAGAGACCGCATTATGTATGTTGTTTGATTTGTGCTTGCTTGTTAAGCCACTAACTTCGGTGGTATAGTGCATTACTTGAATCCACAATGGCGTCATCTTGTTCGACAAATAAAGCAACTGAGTGCGCAAGTCCAAGCCCTACGGAAACAACTTGTCCAGATGTTGCAGAAACAGCTGGAGGAAGTAAATGTAAGGAGGGTGCTGATGATGCAGGACCTTCTAAAGATGTGTGTGAGAGCAAAGCGTCTGTGTTTACAAGTCCTAATGAGGCAGTGAGTTCATACGGAATTGTGGAAGAAGGTGACTGTAATGAATTTAGTGATGACTGTGAAGACGTGTGTGAAGATTCTGACATTGAAAACAGTGTAGAAGAAATAGAGCAGTGTGAGAGGATGTCATGTGTAGATACAAAATTTGAAGAAAATGATAAGTTATCCCCAACAACCAGTATAAGTGCCATAAATTCAGGAAGTTGGTCTGGGAAACGGAAATTGGAAGTACAAAATGGGTTTCCAAGTAAGAAACCTTTCCCTGAGGAAAAGACTGCAATACATTGTTTGAAAAAAGAAACTAGCCTTAATCCACTTGAGAGGGAGAAAACCAAAATTCCAAGGAGTATTATTCCATCAAAAGATAATCCTCCACTGGAAATGACAGAATGGATACAACAGTTTCAGAGATGGTCAAATGCTGAGCGACTTCTTGCCATTGATCAGCTTATTGAAACGTGTGAGCCCACTCAAGTAAGACACATGATGCAAGTTATAGAACCACAGTTCCAGCGCGATTTCATTTCTCTACTGCCGAAGGAGTTGGCATTATACGTGTTATCTTTCTTGGAGCCACGAGACTTGTTGAGAGCTGCTCAGACTTGTAGAAATTGGCGATTTCTTGCAGAGGATAATTTGTTATGGAGAGAAAAATGTAGGGAAGCCGGTATAGAAGAAGTACGTGATAACAGAAGACGGCCTAGAGTTGCTTCGCTATGGAAGGCTGCGTTTATGAGACAACACACAATAGAAATGAACTGGAGAACGAAACCTGTGCGTCCCCCCAAAGTTCTTAAAGGCCATGATGACCATGTGATTACTTGTTTACAATTCTCAGGGAACCGTATTGTAAGTGGATCAGACGATAACACCCTGAAGGTTTGGTCTGCCACCACAGGCAAGTGTCTGCGTACATTAGTGGGACATACAGGAGGAGTTTGGTCTTCCCAAATGTCAGGCACGATAATAATTAGTGGAAGCACAGACAGAACGCTGAAAGTATGGAACGCTGATTCTGGTCAATGCATATACACATTGTATGGACACACTTCCACTGTGCGATGTATGCATCTTCATGGTAAAAAGGTTGTGAGTGGGTCACGAGATGCAACGTTGCGGGTTTGGAACATTGACAGCGGAGAATGCCTTCATGTTTTAATTGGGCACCTGGCGGCAGTTCGTTGTGTCCAATACGATGGCCGCTTAGTAGTAAGTGGTGCTTATGATTATATGGTGAAAGTGTGGAATCCAGATCGAGAGGAGTGTCTCCACACACTCCAGGGACACACAAACAGAGTGTATTCATTGCAGTTTGATGGAATTCATGTGGTTAGTGGATCTTTAGACACCAGTATTCGTGTCTGGGAAGTTGAAACAGGAGCATGCCGCCACACCCTGATGGGTCACCAGTCTCTCACTTCTGGAATGGAACTGAGGAATAACATTTTGGTATCAGGAAATGCAGATTCAACTGTGAAAGTTTGGGATATAGTAACTGGCCAGTGTCTTCAAACGCTTTCCGGCCCTAATAAACATCAATCTGCTGTTACTTGTTTGCAATTTAATAACAAGTTTGTGATCACATCATCTGATGATGGTACAGTAAAATTATGGGATGTTAGAACTGGAGACTTTATCCATAACCTTGTGGCATTAGAGAGTGGTGGCAGTGGGGGTGTGGTATGGCGTCTTCGAGCAAATGAAACTAAATTGGTTTGCGCTGTGGGGAGCAGAAACGGAACAGAAGAAACTAAACTACTTGTTTTAGATTTTGATGTGGATAACAAGTAGAAGTCCAGTATATATTTTTATGTTAAGGAGCTCATGAGACTGATATTCTGAGGATCGACAGAGTTAAAGCTTTTTCACCTCAGCTTATGTCCTAATGAATGACATTTAAGTGTATGTTTGGAATAAGATGAATAAAAAATAGAAAAAACTTCTGAAAGCATGTAAGTGCAAGTTTTCTTGTGACTTAATTTTGAATAAATATTGTCTTCACAATAGAACGTCAGCAAAATTGTTCAAAGAATAATAGCATATGCTAGACATACGATTCAAATATATTGCTCAGTGGTGCATCCAGAAGCGAGATCTGATAAATGGAGCTGACTGTGTCAGTTCCATTTATAATTGTGGAAGAGTTCATTGTTGAACTAATATATTACATTATATATGATTATGTTATGTCCAAATATTTTTTCTTGCAAGGTAAATCGAAGTTGACTTAAAAGGTATTTCAAATGTGAACAATGATAATTGAAGCAATGAAGTAAATGATGGGTCTAATGCCAAAAAAAAATGAAAAATTGAGTTTGTAAGTAAAAAGTTATTTGTGCCAACCCCAAAGCGGTGAAAAATTAGCCTAGCAACATAACATTTGGAACTGGTTAAAAAAATTGCACATAATGGGGTGAGAGCTACCTCACAAATCTGTTTTAAACACCTATCCTCAATTATGTCATATGTAAGATTTTGTCACTTGACCCAATGTTTACTTATATTCTTCAATTGCTTATGTAACCCCTTGTATGTTTACCTTAGTGTTTACTTGTAGGGGATATTATCAATAATAGTTCAATGTTATGGTCTATTTAGACAGGTGCAATAACATAACTGAATCTTGTCATATTGTGATTTTTACATCCTGTAAGAGTGAGTATGAAAAATTCAGGTATTGTTTTTGTGTGAACAAGTATTGTTTTTGTGTAAACCATTACTAAGTATAACTCATTAATGTTCAACTATTTCTGATGTAATGTCAGCTTGTGGCTGCCGCCAGAATTTTGGGTGTGTGACAATAAAAATAAATTTTAAAAAAATTTGACTTTTTTTCTTTCCCTCTGTAAAACTTGAAACCAATGTATCCTTGCCAAACTCTATCTGCCTTTGCCAACTTGCCTTGCCAAATATCTTTTAATAATGTCATGCATCAATGTCCCTCTCCACATCCACCTTGCTGAGGTGAGATGTCTTATCATTGAAATCTGAAGACATTTACTTGTTATATTATTTTATGCATTATTTTATACGTGACACCTGAATGTTTTTGCCCATTTTGTATTCAGTTCTATTTTATCTCTTAGCAAGAGAAGTGGTATGTATCCAGTCATTTTATCTTTCTTATGACCTGAAATAATTTTCCGATCTTTTCATTTGTTATTAAAAAATCTACTATTGATCTATTTCCATCGACTGTCCAAGTAAATTTTTTGAATTGGTGTGTGTCTGAAGAAAGTATCTCACTCTCAATGAGTTAAAATCGTGTAACATTTTTTAGTTTTGATTTTCAGCTGTATCTCTATTTCTTCCAGAAGTTTGTAATGAGCAATTCAATTCCAGCATTTACATCTCTTCCTTTTACCATGTAGTCATTTTTTATTTATGGAGTCGATGATGTTTTATAAGCTCACAGAGATGAATATAGACTGAAATCATCTTCTCTACCTTCTTCCGGGGCATACACAGATATAACACTTGGGTAACCCTTTAATATTTGAAATCAGCGTGTAACAATATTTGTGTACACCCAACTGTTAGGTAGAACAATCTTTCTTCTTTAGTATAATCATACTCATCTTTCTCTTTTTCACTTACAATGTAATGAAATTAATTCCTCTTTATGAAAATCATGATTCATTTTCTTTAACTAATAAGAATAAATCTTGAATTGAAAACTGAATTCAGATAATCATTCTTGATTATTATTTCTGCCAACATGTAATGAAATTAATTCCTCTTTATGAAAATCATAATTGATTTTCTTTAACTAATAATAATAAATCTTGAATTGAAAACTGAATTCAGATAATCATTCTTGATTATTATTTCTGCCAACATTATTTGAATATTTTATTGGCACCTTGTCCATCAATGCCAATGTCACTCTACTGGACCTCTCAAACTGTTGGAGCTGCTGCCTCTCCTTTCATAGTTCTCAACAACGTCTATGAATTTATCTGGATGGGAAATGGATTTCAATGAAATTTGAAATAATGCTCTAGATCAGTAGATGATCACTTAACGTCTCAGAAAAAAAGTAGTTGCCATGTGGTTGGTTGAAAAGGTTTTAATAGCAAACATAAAGCATAAATAATACTAAATACATAAAAGGCAGAGTTGTTAACTGCATTTGTGGTCACTGATTCCTAATTTTTTTTCTTATTTCACACGAGTCAGTCAGTCAAGCAACTAATGTAGCAACACCACTAGGAAGATTGATTTTAATGTTATACATGATAGTGTTACTTGAAAAAGAAACTGATGAAAGTGTTAGATATGATGACTTCTGTTTTGAAACTATAAAAGTTGGAGTAGGAAAATGTAAAGTGAGAATCAAACTAGAAAAAGGGCAGATGAGGTTGCCCAGAGGGCGCTGGCTCAGTTGGCGCCAGAAAGTATGGATCAGGAAAGGTACCCAACATTAACCGGCAAAGGCTTATTTGTACAGCTTTCGGTAGCCTGAACTGAATTTTAGTAATTTCATTTTTGTTTTTTAATTTATTTTTCCACAATATAACCACTAAATCAATGTTACTTCAAACAGTAAATAATAATGTATTGTCAATAATGTCATGAAACATGAAAACAAATAATTAAATTTCATACACATTTAACAAAAACTTACCTGCAATAACTTAGTTTAATTATTACTCAAATATTAAAGATAGAGATTTACGTTCCAAATTCTGTTTTCATTAAGAAAATTACTTACTTTTGGAAATATAAATTTGGTATTTCTTTATTATTCCAATTTTGGTTTTACTATTGCAGCAATTTTTAATGCAACACACTTGCGGCCTCAGTATTTTATTTTTTTAATGCCCTAGGACGCCTCATTTAAGAGTTATTTAACAGTTGTCATTTTTAAATTCCTGCTGAGTGTTGCGAGTTGCATTTGCGATGAATATTAGGGTTTTTTCTCGTGATTTTTTCCGCTATTTTTATAGTTATTCTGCTATTCGGGGCGGAGATTAATCCAACAAATCAGAGATAATTAAAATTCGTAATTCGTCCAGCCATAATATATCTTGCCACCACGATGTCTACAGGATTGTGGACTTCGTGCTTCTTGCGGAAACTGATGCTGCTGAAGCAAAAGGAGTCTAGGTATTTTTATTTTATATTTCAAGAAGCTGCCGATGTTTTTGATTCATACTCCCACCACTGGAGTTGAGAATCCTTCCCGCAGACTTCGTGAGCGCAGGTATTACTCGGGCAACTTTTCTTGAACGATGGGGATTGACGATTTCGGGTGGAGTGGGGGTATTAGTTACCAAGTCGGCCACTAGAGTATTTTAAGTAATGCCAACGTCTGTGAAATGAAAGTCAAAACTGCATCTTGTGCTTAACTTTTTCGGCAGTTTTAGGTGATTCCCTTGAAGGACCTGGACCTGACTCATCCATTTCTTTCGATATTGACAATAAATCTGAACAGGGTTTCTGCACTATGAAAGCAACTGGCTTTGACTAGCTTCTGTTTCGCGCCAACAAAGTTTTAATGCTTGGAAGGTTGTCAACAATGCCCGCTGCGAGCTTTTGCCTTATTGCAAAAGGGAGGGGGATCAAGGTCAACGTTCAAGAAAAGTTGCGCGAGTAATATACGCCGCGGCGAAGGTCTAGCGGCACCGAGCGGCATAACCTGGGCACTACTGAGGAAGATGCGAAATGACATGAGATTAGGGATGGGAAAAGTCGTTCTTGTATGTGAACCGCTCTTCATACGATCGATATTTAAAGTGAGCTAATTTAAAAGAACGAGATATTTCATTAATTTTGTGACGTAGACAGGGATACCATCATTGTGAGAAATACCGTCAACTCGGCGCAAAGCAAGCGTCTGTTCGCAGGAAGAAATGCTTTTCGGGGGATTCCGTCCACGGGGGAATTTATTGTTTCCTAGAAGGATTTTAGCCAGTATGCATTTTTGCTTAAATCGTCAATAATACATTTTCCCACAAAATATACAAGTATTGTTGGCGTTTAAAAGAAATGTCCTATGCACAATTGTTTTACTTTTGGACACCTTGTAAATATGCTGCTATTATGAAATATATCATGCCCCATTTTATATTTTTAGACGTGCATTTAGTCCCTTTTTCTAGAAATTGTACTAGTATTTAAGTCATACGACTACACTTAATAGGTAAGCTTAGAAGCATATTTTTATTAATTTAGGTATCTTAACATTACCTTGTCTCTTGGTATATGAGTCAGTGTTTTTTCTTAAAAATGACTTACTTATATATTTTCAGCAAATGCTGATATCTACAACTACAACACTCGACGTTGTAATCATATTTATCAGCTAACATAATCAACTGCTCACTACAAAAAAATCGCATACTATACATGTGCATTATTTTACACCTTATGCCAGATGAATTTAAAAAATTGAATCCGATACTTAAGTTAAAGTCACCAAATAAAATTATTCTACTGTACAACTGTTTCTATACAATTAGAGACTATACCTACTATTCAAAACAAAAGTAATATAAATTTTAACGACATTTAAAATCTTATTAACCATTTGGATTGTATAATTCTAAAGAACCTGTAACAAGTATTGTTCTTCAGCTTCTGGGTTAATGACCCCCATCTCGATCAGGTTTTTGTCAGACTTTCCTTGGTCCTTGAGCAAATGCTGAGATGACCCCTTGTTTTGCTTCTAGACATAAATGTAACTTCAAATTAACTTCTCCCTTCAGCACGTCACACACAGTTTTTAACTGTATCTGACGTAAATAAATAATAAGTTTTAAGCACAAGAGTAGTGTTTTAAACTTCTTGTGAACGTACAGTTATTTAAGAATTATCAGCTCTACTAACAGAGTCAACTTTATTCATCTCTCGTACTTCTTGCGGAAACTGATGCTGCTGAAGCAAAAGAAGTTTCAGCTTTCTTCCCCACTAGTTTATTTGGCGGAAATGGGTTAATTTTTATCCCTCCGATGGCGAAATTTTTCCAGAATGCAACTCTGGACGTAGGTGTTTTTTAACTGTTGAAGTTGAAATTTTTGCGGAACCGTAGGTTGAGGCCACAAAATCGACTGAGACCATAAAAAAAAACACACTTCGCCCACGAAATGTGAACATTTTTTTCTACAGCTGTATGAAAATTAAAATATAAAAATATATGGAAAAAGTCGTAATTTTAATTTTGCATTAAGGTGCTTAATATCTTGGAGAATAGCAGTAGCTTGTAGAGGGTTACTAAGGGATACTTAGTTAAATTTCCATGAATGAAGTACTGTTTTTCACGGTAACATGACAGTTGTCTTGGCAAACGTGTTTTTTAATTGATATAAAAAATAGCCCATTTCACATGCTGTTAACAATGCGCAATCAGCCTTTATTATAGAGTTGTATAATTACTTATTTGTGATACGAGTGGTAAATGTTGCATTTTATTTTGCTTCTTGGAAATGTTGCAACACGAAGCCGATGACCGGAGTGGATATGCACACTCCTACGAACAAAATAAAATCCCTAATGCCCACGGTGACCACATTGCAAAATTTTAGTCGCTAATCACCACAGTTGTTGATGCGACTGTAATAAACTAAAAAATATCACTTTTACCACGTGTGTCATACACTATTTTTTAGTCAGTATCTTTGATTTTAATTATATTTTAATTGAAACGTACGTATAAAACCCATATTGTATTAGGGTCAGCAGTAGCTATTGCGATAAGATAAAAGTACTTTGCTTTCATTGTTATATTCACATTTTTATCTGAATATAATGAATATTGTCTCGCTTTTAGCGCTCCATGCTTACCCTACTAGTAACTTTTTTTTGCAGGAGGGTGTATAAAAAGTATTTGTACTTGAATAATGAACACGGTACTTCAAACTGTGCAAAACCTCTGAATGACAATTCCGCAAAATAATAGAGAACATTTATCTTCGTATCATTTTATTTTTAAATATTTTGAATTACCCGCATAAATGTTGAATCTTATAATTAATACAAATAAAATATATTGAAAAAACGGTGATCTACTTAAATTGAATTAAAGTGAACGAGGAGCGGTGACTGGCGAGCTATGGGAGCCATTAGGGGTCTCTCAGGTGAATGATGACGAACGATGACCGGAGAGAAAGCTATCAGGTGGATGCAATGGAATTTTATCTAAATTTCCATTAATTCCTATTGGATTATTGGAATATTTTTGATGAAGAAATAATAGATGAATTATTGCGAATGCTGCTACAATAAATGGAATTATGAAATGAACCGAGTTAATGTAGCATTATTTGAACTAGGTGAACGACGACCGAAAACTAGGAACTAAGGGAACGACACCTGGAGAACAATAAACGGTGATCACAGTATATCTATAGATTAATCCATGGTATATCTTATACACAGTGACGGTGATCGATGGCACGGTGTAAGAAATATATCTTACACCATGTCGATGGTCAGCAAAATTCGAACGATGACAGATGAAAGGTCGTTCCTTCCTGATGAGGATGAGAAGATGATCCTTCTATATCGTACCATTCCTTTTCGGGAATAGTTCAATTGAGATAGTTCGTTCGCGATCGACACATCGCTACGTGAGATTTTCCATCGTGAAGACAGTCTGTGACGCGCCACGTTATAAAATCCGAAGTGTAGAGTACCGTCAAGACAGTAACCAGGACCATCTGACGACCATAACATCTTGGGCAGTGCATGTAAATTCTAGTGGAAACAATTTAAATATAAGACAGTGTCATGTTGACAGTTGACTGTTTTCAGTGCAACCAACAGTCAATCAGTCCAGAAGATTTTTTCACTGATATTTTTCTGAAGTATTGGGAAATAAAAACTTCTCTATTTACATTGGGACCCCTGTCAAGTTGAAGGTTTGCTTAAATGTGCTGCTTTAAATTGTGAGAATAGTAGTTGGTAAGTGGAACATACTATGCCCTATTGAGTAATTTATTAAAAGTTTGTATTAAAAAATGGAAACTGTTTTGTTTGGTTTATTATTGAATGAATTCAGTTTATTATCTAATTCATGTATGTGAGACTATATTTGTATGCACAGTGAATAAGTCTAATTTCCCTGCTTTACAGGGCACAACTTTTAACTTGTCAAACATCTGATGACAGTAATTCTATTGGCTTTGGAATGGTTAGAAGTCATTATTTGGAGATACATTTTACCCAATTTCATTGACTTGTTACAAAATACCAGTTTTACAGCACTGTGGTAACTTTAAAAGTTGTGCCCTGAAATGTAGGGATATTTGAAGTATCAACATATTCACTCTTCATGTAGATATTACTGTGATAGTGATATTTAAACGTAAGTTTAAAAAAATTATTTCACACTTAGATGTACATAAGAAGAAGAAAATTCATCACTTTTCATTAACATTGTATGTAGTGCAAGTTTCAAGTATTCTACGAGATATGCAGCATACTCTGCTACGAGTAGGAATATACTACAACCGTAATGACAACAATCTTAATTCAACATAATATTCAATGACAACATAATTGAATTAAGTAGTTAATAAATTAAATGGAAATTTACATGTTGAGGCAAACTAAATGAAAATGAATTTTAAAAAATTTTACAAATACAATGGAACAACAGCTCGTACAGAAATAAGCTGACATCACAGTAGCGTCTTAAATCGACTGCATTGGATCAAGAATGAACAGTTTTTATTATTTTAGATAATCATAATATTACAATAACATCATTGGAATTAACTTAATAATTGGTACATCGATGGAAAAGTTTTTTTTATGACAATCACCATGCAATAGTGACAGCCACAACACACAAATCACATTTTAATTACTAATTACTTTATTACCTTTTTAATCATGTCTTTTCATATAGGGAGAACTGTATGTTGGTTTTCATAGAGTTAAACAATTCATTCAACCATCTTGAAAAATTCAGAACCAATGTACATGATCCATTCACCACTGGCAACAATGTATATGAGGTTTCTTAGCTGCTTGGTTTCTGGCCTTTGCTAAGGTTCTATTCAGTTTATAATAATTCAACCACTGACCTGCTTTTTGTTGTAAGTTTTTTTGAAGATTTTTTGTATTAAGGGCAATCAGATGAGTAAATAGTTACATTAAGCTTTGAATAAAGCTTTATTTCATTATATTCAATTTAATTTATTTTATTTTATAATAAATGTTCCATAGTCACTTCATTCCATAAAACTTTTGTTTTATTTGATAAGTTATTAATTTTATTGCTTAATTTGTGAGTTTTAAATATTTTTAGTGCCTTTCTGTACAATTGTTTGAATTTATTATATAGTTCCTTGTAGGAGTTTTCTTCGGTCATCTTAACCTTTAACTGGAGCATGTGGGACCTGGGAACCCTTCATAATTTTGCCAGACTGATTTCTACGCAACTGAGACTCCCATGTAAATTCACTTCAGTATTTTGGCGTTGTGTAATTTTTTTTATATATACAATTCTTTGCAGGACATCAATTGCTCGTGAAATGTGTCTTAGGTCGATATGTTGTACCAGACAAACTGCAAACATTGCATAGACTGAACATCAACATTTTTTTGAAATTATAATTATAAAAATGTTCTCACTGTTCTCTATCCTGACAACCAACTATACACTCACAATAAATGTATGTATCAAAAACCCCCTTGAAACCAACATTATAAATAAAATCCGTACAAGGAACCAGCCAAACAATCCCCATCTAACAACATACATTTCTCGTATTATTTTTTATGAACATTTGATGATGTTCCCAATGTTCATACAGTTTTTACTTCGTTACCTAAATATAGTATTGTGTTCCACAATTCGTGCAATTACTTTTTTAATTTAAGGCTTTGTCATAAGAAAAAGAACGATAATAATAGTAGTAGTAGTAGTAGTAGTAGTAGTAGTAGTAGTAGTAGTAGTAGTAGTAGTAGTAGTAGTAGTAAGAAGAAGAATAACAATAAAAAGAAGAGGAAGAAGAACAGCAGCAACAACAACAGACTAATCATAAAATTACCCTTATCAAGTGGCAAGGCTCGGAATGTGAGGCTTGCTCTTCAATCTTCCCATCATATGTTATTTTTATTTTTAAGTTTCTAAATAACCCAGTCTCTGAATATTTCCCCCGAGTTGTTTCAATAAATTAAAGTACAAAAATTCATATTCTTGTATATTTCACCTCAGTTAAAACTAATTGTAAGTCAGGGTCCTCAGGACCCTGGTGAACCAGTTACGTAATAAGATCATGGTGCTCCAGTTAAGGGTTAAGCATCGTGTAGCAGTATTTTATATCATCATTGAGTTGCGAACCTGGTATTTATGTTCATTTTTACACGATTGCCTTATTACTAGACAAGTGGAATATAAATGTTTGTTGATTATGCTGTGAAATAAGTTGCATTTATAATTTGAGTTTTGTTCTGAATATACTCTAAACCAGCTCTCATTTTGTAGCATTTCATTTTAAAGAGTCAATTTACACATTCCGATGCCCCTAATATATGAGAGCCCAGCTTTTTCTAGTTTCTACATTTAAAATTATTCATTGATATTGTGCGTGCGTGCGTGTGTGTGTGTGTTCGGAGTGTGTGTGTGTGTTTCGGGAGTGTGTGTGTGTGTGTGTGTTCGGGAGTGTGTGTGTGTGTGTGTTCCGGGAGTGTGTGTGTGTGTGTGTGTGTTCGGGAGTGTGTGTGTGTGTGTGTGTGTTCGGGAGTGTGTGTGTGTGTGTTCGGGTGTGTGTGTGTGTGTTCGGGAGTGTGTGTATACACACACCGCTAGAGAACTGCAAATTTAGAGCTTCAGAGACAGTCGAACAGGCGTGAGAGACGTCTGCAGATTCAGGGAGAGAAAATGCCAATAGCTCTAGAAAAGATCGGTAGCGTCGAGCCTGATTACGAGACGATACAGCAAAGAGACTACTGAATAGAATGGTGAGAGTCTGCGCTACGAAACCTAGGGTTTCGGCTTCAGGGATAGTACAACTGCCAGAAGCAACTGCTCATTTCCCGTTCACAAGATAGAGCCAGGCAGACACTAACCGCAGAAAATATTAAGATGGCTATGGAGAGATACAACCACAAACATACTTCAAGTGCTACCTTTGAGACAATAGAAATGATTTGTAATTACTGTCAAGTTGAAACGATGTAATCGGAGTCTCCTGGAGTTCGTTGCGAAAATGGTAAAGTCAAATAAAAGATATCCAGGATAGGTGACACAGGGGCATCAACTGATGACACTTCAGTGCCCCTACACGGAGGTCCTAGGTTCGAGTCCCAACGGCAGGATTTTCGATTCTAGCTATCCTGTGATTTTCGCAAGTGTGCAGTTTGACAGGAATCAACTGTTGACAGTTTCATCCAATCGAGAGCTGGAACGTCGCCATAGTGACGACACTATGGTGATGTTCAAGCTCCTGATCGGATAAAACCGTCAACCGCTGATACCTGCCAGGGGCAGAGTTGCATAAATCGCAATATAGGGGGTAGGTCGAATTCAGTCGCTATATGAAGGAAAATTCTAGGGGCCAGCTGCTCTGATCAGTAGTTTTCCGTGTCCTCTCTTATCAAAACCAGACGAATGACGGAGCAGAACCCTAATAAGCAGACCATGGCCTGTGCGCAATCTTCCCTTTTCTTCCTTGTCCTATATTCACTCCTTACTTACACACTCTAACACTTAAATGCACTACACTACAGTACATGGAGGTAGACCGGGCAGGAGCTTAGAGCTTGTCTCGGCTGAGGCGATGCCTTGCTGGTGGAAGGTACCCAGTTGGGGAGCCCCCCCAACAGCTGACAGATCAGCGGCGGTTATCTCCATCCAGTGGGGGAAGATCACCGCCATCTTGCTAAGAAAGACATGCACTACACTTACGTGACTAATGAACTTTGCTGTTGACGCGCCCCAGAATCATCAATCAATCAAATAAATGCTTGTATGACGTACATATCTTGAAAATGTTAATCCACTAGTAGTAGCTTTTAAGTTTTAAAATATTTGATTATTTTATTTAGTTGGAGAAAGTCAAGTACCATGAGTTGATTTTTAATCAATATTTAAATAATGCACTAGAGATTTTAATTTTTTCTGTTATTTAAAAAATTGTTGACTTAAAAAACATTCACGAGGCTCAATGTCCCTTAATGATTTCCTCTATTGATTTATACTACGTATGAAGAGAAAGTATTGTAATGCTACTGTGAAATGTAATTTTTCAACAGAGAAACTCTTATAATATTTTCTCGTAAAATTAATATTCTCTGATTGATCTGACTGAAACCGAGACCCTGTGAATTTGAAACATATTTTGTTTGGGGGTGGGGCAAATGTTTGAATTAAATGTTTTCTCAGATAGAACAAAGTACACGAATAAAAATGGTCCAGGTCAAATTATCATTGCTCTCACAAAATTTGGAAAATTGCAAAAGTTAAAATTTTTTTCCCGCGCCTTGCTATAACTATAATTTTCTTCGAAGACTTTTTTCGTTCGTGAAATCTCTTCGTTAATTTTTTAAAATTATAAGATTTGTAAATAATATGTATATTTTTAAAATGTGAGTTGCCCCTGCTCAACATTCTTTTTAAAGAGGGAGAAAGGTTATTATGCAAATTGGGCTGTTTAGTATAAAAGTCATGCTCGTAGCATGCTAAACTTATACACACAATACAATTTTAATCCCAAATTGAGGAAAAATTTGGCAGAAACAATTTTGCACGTTCAAGTAGTATAATACTGCATGTAATAGAAGTAAGAACGCGCTGTTGTAACACCACTAAGTATGAAAAAAATGAATTTTTAACTCTTTACAGAAATGCTTATATATATATATATATATATATATATATATATATATATATATATATATATAATGTGTGTGTGTGTGTTTAATTTGTTAAATGTTTAATTTTGGTTCTGCTTAATGTTCATCCGATTGTGATATAACTTCGTCAACGTATTGCTTGCACTTGTGGGAAGAATGTAGGCAAAGTACGATGGAAATGTGCTGTGCATATGCCTGTACACATAGACGTGCGTTGATATTTTTATGGTGACTCAAGCGTTCCTGAACAGGGCTCTCTACACAACGGCACTCTATGCAACGCGCCGCACCGTGAAGTATGAGTAATAAGAGGGTGTTCATTGCATATTCTGCTCCTGCGATTGTGGAATTTCGCCCAGGAGAGACAGAGGTGGAGAGAGAAACAGAGAGACGGAGACACAGAGAGAAAGGGAGAGGGAAGGAAAGAAAGAAATGGAGGGGAGGACATCTGCCGGGTTCCGCTATACGAGTATTAATATGTAAAAAAAACAAGTTTTAATCGTATTTTATGTGCTGTCGTACCGTTCATTCCATTGCGATAAAACTTTGTGAAAGAACATAGGCTTAGTAAAATTATTGTAGCTCCTGTAGATAGCGCTTCAGTTAAATACAAAGATACTGCTAGATATAATATTTTTAAAACAATGTTATTTTAATGATTAAAAATAGAAATGTGAAGGCTAAAACTAAATATATTTAAACATACAGTTTAGTCCAAGAATAAATATCATTTCAAATTCAGGGGGAGATATGTTGTACTGTTGTTTGATGGGCGCTATTTATATACATTTTAAATGTCATTTGTTATAGGTGGTGCCCAGCCAGAAGCCGGAGAGTCGCCGAGGCCTAGCAGTGAAATCTCGTTAATTGCTTCGCCAAAAAATGCCTCCGAAACGTTCATCACTGAGTAGATCTACCAGCGCAGCACGTAGAAATAAGCGAATCAGAGCTTCTTTAACAAACGAGGAACGACAAGCGAGAAATGAAGCTGATCGTTTACGAATTGCGAATTCACGTGCATCAGAAACAGAAGACCAACATACAGCGCGGATTGAGAGAGAGCGTTTACGAGCCGCCCGATCGCGCGCATCAGAAACAGAAGAACAACATGCCGCGAGAATTGAAAAAGAGCGTTTACGAGCCGCCCGATCGCGTGCATCGGAAACGGAGAAACAACATGCCGCGAGAATTGAAAGAGAGCGTTTACGAGCCGCCCGATCGCGTGCATTAGAAACGGAAGAACAACATGCTGCGAGAATTGAAAGAGAGCGTTTACGAGCCGCCGATCGCGTGCATCAGAAACGGAAGAACATGCCGCGAGAAGTGAAAGAGAACGTTCTCGTGTCACCCGATCTCGACCAACAGTACATGTTGATTTGAATCTTGTTAGTTAATATTATATTATGTTAAGTATATAAATGTGCAAATTGGATGTTTTCCTTTGTTTTCAAATTGTAAATAAATAGTTAATGTTGATTACTTAATATGAACAAAATTTATCAGAGCTGTTTCATTCTTATTTTTTGTTAATTGTAGAAATTGAAGATGAAATTCTGAGAAGTTTTGGAGAGAGCAATAAAATAATTTGTCTCATTTGATTGTCTTCAGGTTAAAAAACTACCAGTTGTCAACACAGATGAGTGTTCTTGGAAAATTAATGTGAGTCAAATTTTGTTTTTGTTGTTGGTTGTTGTTTTGTTTTTTTCATCCTTTTACGTGAAAAATAAAGAAAATGAATTAAGGAAACAGATGTTTCACAGTTTTTTTTATAAAATGACTGTTAAATAAAACAAAATGGTGTCACAGTTGCCAAATGTTTTAATACCTAATTCAATAAATTCCAATTCACACCTAACTGACCATTTTTAAGTATGTGGACGGAAAAATAGTCCATAAAATATTATTATTATTATCATCATTATTATCATTATTATTATTAATAATATTATTATTCACGTAAGGGCCATTTCTGACCATGCAATATATTTCTCTGTCCGAGGCTCACTTGTATTCTATCCTGGAGAGATCAACGTGTGGAATTATGAGTATCAGCCTTTCAGCTGCATCCCATACTTGAGACAAAGTTGTTAGCCTTGAATATCAATTAGAGGGTGATAGGTTGTTATTGTTGTTATTATTATTATAATTATTAATATTATTATTTTATTAATATATGGACACTTGTTACATCACTTTTGACTGTTCAATTAACGCAAATTTTGAATTTAATAAAATGTGGTCATGGTTTAGTACATGAATTAATTATTTGTATCTGAGAATTTCGAACTCAACAATCACAGTTACGACTTTGTTTATGCCAGGGGTGTCCAACTAGCAATGGCTCAAGGGCAACAACTATATTAATTGTATGTTTGCAGGCCATATTTTCATTACTTGAACGATTCACTCATGACCCCATATTGACCTTGTCACATTGCAGCTCTGAAATGCGGGGAGGGGGGAATGGACCCATGCGTGATGTCAGGCTGTACCATAACGTAGTGAAACACAGGGTGTTAGGGATGATTTTGAAATTTTGAGTTTAGTACTAGCAAAAAAATCCTAGTCTAAACTCAACCTTTTATTATTATTATCATTTTTTTTATATTAAGAGGGTGTTGACTTCAACAGTGAGCATGCACTAGTCATACAATGCTCTCGCTTGAGATGGATACTCGGGTTTCTCATGTTTAACTAATAACACTTCACAGTCCACAAGAGGGTGCCAATTGGACAACTCTATATCTACTTTACATAAATTGATTTTTTTGTATATCCTTGTGTGAGGCTTGTTTTCTTATACAATGAATTGTAATCATTGATATTATATAGCGGTTGGGTTGGTCTGTTTTATTTTATTTGGTACATTTAAATTCAAATCATTCAATAATATACGGCTTGAAATAATACTGGTTATTAGTTTATAAATAAACTCCATATTATTTAATTCCCTCATCGTCTTCAACGATGGAATGTTTAAATAGTTGATATTTCTTTATAATTGTGATCTATGAATGGATCAGGTAGACTATAGCAGGAAGATATATTTTATTAAAAAAAAGATGCTTAACTGTTTCTAAATGTATGTTGAAGATAAGACTCCAGGTTGATGAGGCAAACATCTGTAATGATCTGATCAGATGTAAATACAATGATCTCAATGCTTTTCCTGAATTTAGTTCTCTACAAGACCCAAATTCTAACATTTGGATTCATTTATTATCTATTTTATCAATATGTTGTATATGTATCAATAAAGATAATGGATAACGATTTTTGTTATAATTTTCTCTCATTTTGCAGGAAGATTTACAAAGTCCTTCCACTGTGTTTGTGAAGACTGAATGGGAGTGTGAGATTGAAGAAGGATTTCAAGAAAATGAAGTGATGCAGGATGAAACAGAGGTAAGAATGAAAAGGTAATTATGTAATCAAATTGAGCATTGTTTGGAGATATTGGGCAGCATATTTATAAAGTGAAGAATAATATGCGATATATAATTCTTTTTTTAGTTAAACTTTATATCATTTCAGTAATACTGTGCAGATGATATATACAGCATAAAATCAAGCTAATAAGGGTAATTTTTGTTGTGCAGGACGAGTTAGAACCTCCAACTACTGTGTTTCTGAAGACTGAAACAATGTGTGATATTGAAGAAGCATTGCCAGAAGAAAATAATGAAGAAAGTTGGGAGGAAAAAGCATTTCATGGAAAGGAAGCAAGTCAGGATGCAGAGGAGGTACGAATAAAAGGGTGAATGTGTATGAGGAGCAACTAATTAAAATGCATGTTGACCACTGGTGGAAAACCCTCCAGTGGGCAATATGTGTTTTGATTAGTTGCTGCTCATATTGAAATTGAGGATGATTCTGAGATGCTCTGCAGCACACAGATGGTAGTGCAGAGACTGAGGATGTGTTTGAATTCTATGACTCTTCAAAATCCAAGACCCAACTCATAGTTTTGCCATCTTACTACAATTAAACTCTGAAATATTTATAGAAACTGTTTACTTTGTTATAGCTGTGTATGTATATAGTTTAGAGCAAGTTATGTAATGCTATGAAAAATCGTGGAGATTATAACAGAAATACATATTTTGGTTCCTTTAATACCAATATTGTGTTGTTTAAAAATGTTTGCGTGTTCCTCTGTGCCGGTCTGCTTTTCATGTGTGAACATCACTGGTGCCTAAACCATTCAAATATTTTTTTAACAAGAATATTCCCAGATTTATCTGCTTTCACTTGAGGTCCTGCAAATTTTAAACATATCTTAATATTTTTGTGGACATCTCTCATGAAATCCTGGAACATTTTCAAATTGATGAAGATGATCACAGTTTCAATTTTCACTGTTACCTCTGAATTTTTGAAAACATTTTCCCAAGTTTATGATCTTTTAGACATGCTCATACAAATACATTATTGAAGATGAAGATTCTTCTCTAAATGAAAACTGATCTTCAGATTTGTATCTTTAATTAATGTCAAGTACATTTTTTAAAATGAATAGTTTTTATATAAGCTTATATGGAATAGGAACAATAAAAAAAATGTCAACAAGATTATCTCAAAAATGGCTCAAATTTTTCTTTATACTTTTGTACATGTAGAGCTACAAGAACTGAAGCGTTACTTGACTACATATTTCAGATGACACATTGCTACACGTTTATAAATTGGAGTGATGAGACTTTGACCTTCGCGATTTACATTAAGCAACTTCGAGTCTCTGCAACATGTTATTTTCAATACATTTTTATGCCAAAATACTTCTCTGAATGCTCACTGCGCACTTGGACAGCCATCTTACTTTAACAAGCAGCCTCTGGCTAAGTCATGTATTAGGCCCATAAAAACTAGCGTGATCACTTCAACATACATATACTATAAACCTTTTGACTAATTCGTGAAAATTAATTCAGAGTTTAGCCAAACTATAATCATCAAGGCAGTGACAGATGTAAATATGTTTGTGTTCTGCAATGCATTTGTGGATATTGTAAATAGTTTTCTTTATGCAAAATTTTCTTTGAATCATTTCACAGGAGGTACTTGAGCCTCCAGAATCTGTATTCCTTGAGCCAACTGTGTATGATGATGAAAATTATGTATCTCCAACCTGTCACATTAGCGGTTGTCTCTGAAGGTACATCCCTGCAAAGAATAGCAATGGGTTCTAATTCTATTGATTCTGAGAATGTTGAGATGATTTCATTTGCTTAATGTTACAATGTAGTCAACAAATTATTGGTATTAGTTATATATAGCCGAACCCATGACAACGTTTTGCACTATGTAAATCAATAATTTAAAAGGTGAAAAAATTTAAAGTAGCTTTTAGAATAGGAAAATATGATTAACTAAAAGTTGTTTCATACAATCTTTGGAAACATTACAATATTGACTTATGTATTGGAAAAAAAAATCAAATGCAAGTGAATGAAGAACTTGTCCATGAAGTCCATTGTAGTTGTACAGCTTGAAACAGGTGATGCAAAACATCCTTTCCTTCACTCTTCCATCTCGTTTTCTCTTCATACTTTTCTTCATCCACCTCACTTTCATCGTTGTTTACTATCTTGTATATTCAGTGTAGAAGAAGTATTGTAATGTTGCAAAATATCTATTGATATTTTGACAGAAATTCCCTGTTTTAGAGGTAACTAGTAACAACAGTGTGCTTCTTAATCAATGTCCATTCCTGTGGAAGTGTGACTGCATTCCCGTTTCTTTGTGCACAAGACTAGTGCTAATCCGACCACAGGATTTTCTTTAAATTTGATTTTGTGCAAATGACATTTCAAATCCATCAAATTTTATATTAATATTGTAATTTTTAGAGGTAATTTGCTTGCAGCTCCTAGGATCCAGCGAAGTGGATCAGTCACGTCCTGACTGGAGATGTGGAAGGCTCTCGAGTGGTCCTTTCTTCATTTTCCATCCTTCAAAAATTCCATCAAAGTCACAAGTTATTTGTTGATGGCAAACTGCAACAATTGATAATTTAAAATTATAAGAAGTACACATTCAATCCTTTTTGAGAAAATTTAGAAAGTTTTGAGACTTTGTACAAAGTGCTCCCAAAAAATCAATATAACCATTTGAAACTTGCAGTGTCATCAAGTTCAGTCGTATCTATGAGGGAATATCAGTTTTGGAAAACAAATTTTGAATGGTTTGGGCTCCAGAGTTGACCAGAGGCATGTATTGCCATTAACCAAATTGAATGTATCAAGGACCCGGAAATGGATTCTGAGTACTCAGTGCTTCTAAGTAATTTGATGTTAATGACATTTTATGCTAATTTCACTTCGGTGATATTATATTTAGGAACAAGATTTATCAGAGACCAAAAATATTTCTTCAAAAAAATCGCCGATTTTTGCTGCAGCATTTCTTTATTATGTTCCTATGTAATAGGTGAAAAAAGAAATGTTAACAATAATTGAAAATGAAGAATTAAAGTTGATAGTGCAATGACAGTGGATGACTAACAAAGTAATTTCTGGCTTCTGAACAGCATGTAATCGATGATGTTGGATAAGCCATTGAAAGCTTGGCCAAGTGTTTCTAATTCTTTTATCTCCTATATTTTTAGTATTATGTTCCTCTTTTAGAGAAATAATTAATTTCACCCTTGTTTGGTATATTACAGGATTCCCATGCATCAACTAGTGGGAGTGAATTTCTTGCTTCAATGAGACAGAAAATTGCTGGTGCATTATCTGCGAGTAAGTAAAAAAACATGAAACTTAGGGAATAAGGTAAACATAAGCAGTGAGTTATTGCATAAAATGAGTGGTTACTTAGAGGGTCTGTATTTCACAGGCATTCCTTTAGAATGCAGAATGATTACTTACTTATATTATCTCAAAGTTTGGAGAGTGCTCCAGTAAAATCTGTGTAAGCCAGAATTGATGAAGGCAAAAAAGTTCAAAAAAATCCTGTTTTGGGAGGCTTCCATTTTATGCATTCCATTTCGTGAGCTTGTGATATTGAAAGATGGTGGTGACACTATAACAACGTGGGCTGTTTTTACTTAGAATGGTCTGGGTCCTCTGGTCCAACTGAACCGATCATTGACTTGAAATAGCTATGTTAGGCTACTTGGAGACCATTGGTATTGTGGTGAGTTTTCGTTGGCATTTACAATGAAATAATTATGATAAAATAATATAACAATATTGTTGGCAATGACGACTCATAACTATTTGATACTTGAAGATTATTTGTAGCAATTTACGGACTTTATGTTCCCAAACAAAGAGGGAATTTTAATGGATGACAATGCACCATGTCACGAGGCCACAATTCTTCACAATTGATTTTAAGAACATTTGGAGTATTTATGGATCATAATTAATGGGTGAGTTTGTGCATAGAATTCTCCACACCAGTAACACTTTTGCAATTAAGGATGGCTATAGAGGCAGGAGTGCTCAATATTTCTGCAGCAGACTTCCAACGACTTGTTGGGTCCATGCTACATCAAGTGCACTTTGCTGGGCAAAAGTATGTCCGGCACGATATTAGAACTTATCCCATGTATTTTGTCACCTCAGTGTAGTACCACGTATTTATGGAAGAAAACATTCTTCATTGACAACTTCTGTGTTTCTCGTGGTTCTATAAGTTTGATCTTTTCAACTACGGTTAGAGTTTTATTGTTTTTCAATCATTGTTAAACTCATAAAAACACACACCACCTCACTGCCTTCAGACATATTTCTTGCTGACTCTTACAACGCACAGCCCAGAGTACTAAAACCATACCTTCTCAAGGCCTTGAGCAATGCTCTTCTGGCCAAGAAGAATTTTGAACGTGGGGAAGGGTGAATAGAATCCATTTGCGTACACATCCCCAAACTCAGGGTCGGGAGGAAAGGACCCTGTGGCGTACGCCTTGAAAGACAAGCAAATTCCATGCTGACAGCGTAAGTCCCTCTCCTTCACTATGCAGCTGCCACAATTAAATTGCATGTTACAGAGATAGAGAATTTAAAATAGACTTGCAGATTCATTCATTTTATTGGGAATATTTCGCACCTTCCAATTGCATTGAATTAAAAAGAATTCCTTTTTATAAGATTGTTTTATCCTGTAGGATGTAAAAACCGTTGTTTCCGCATCAACAGTTTCTGTTTTTTGGCTGAGTAAAATGCTATTCAATGTGACGGGCTAGAGAAATTCCTGCGAAGGTAGGTTTCCGGCTTGCACAGGTTTCAGTTTTGTCAGATTTTATAGTATTTACTGCAGCCGTTTTGTGGTTGAGTAGCTACATTGGATATTTATCGTACAATGAGCCTCCATTTATTTTTGTTTATTGTCCACCTTGATGTGTGCGCTTTCAAGATATTTCTCTCTCTTTCTCTGCCATTCTCTCTCTCCATTTCTCTCTTGATCTCTCTCTCTCTTTTTCTTTCTCTTTCTTTCTCTCTGTCACTCTTTCTTTCTCTCTTCTCTCTTTGTTGAACGAATACTTGATTTATTGACGACTTAAATTGAAACGTTGGATTACTTTATTAAAATATTTTCACTTTCAGGATATAGAGACCATCAGGAAAGTCGGGAATTGTTGGAGAATTTCTAATTCCTTGGAAGAACGAAGAAAAAAGGAAACTATTTTTATTGTCTGTGATAACTATATTCAAAACAATAAAATAACATATTGAAATAATTGAGGGTCAGGGAAAATGGGCACATGAAAAAGCCATTCTGAAGTTTTCTGATGTTGGATTGATGCATATTACCATTTACTCTTAAAATTGTACTTTTGCTTTCTTGGTGCCATTCTTGCTCATGTACATGTTAATTTCAAAACACTTATGGATTGGATTCATTTGCACGTTTTCCACAGATTGCCTCAATTAATGTAAAACAAATTAATGCAGTATTGTCAATTGATTTGCGATAATTGATTATCACATTGAGTGTCAGTCTGAATGGGGTTTCATACGCTTTTATTATTAATGTCTGCTGTTTGTTTTTACAAATACATAAAAAACCGACAGAATTTAGCAGATGATTCTTTATCACTAATTGTTAGTTACATATGCAAGTAACTATTGTTATTAAATGAAAGAGTTGTTAACGTTTTGCCCAGTTGTGGCCTTCATACTGTCTTGATGTAAGTCGCAGCAATTGGCTAAAAAGTTGACAATGCCTTCATTTAATAACAATAGTTACTAGCAAATTAATTAACAATTAATGTTAAAAATTGTTTGCTAAATTTGGTCAGTTTCTTATAAATACTTAAATACTTTCATTAGATTAAAGATCGCCAGAACAGCAGATGGGAACCGCCTTCTAGGGGTGACTTCTCATCACAGTATCCTTTTCTCCAATGGTTGTGTTGTTTACCAAGTTACACTGCAATTGTGTAAATTCTCTATGATGAACTTGGAAACTTTCATGGGGAAAAACTACCTTCATCTAAGTTGGGTGTATTTTAGAAAATATATATTAATAATGTAGAATATGTATAATAATTGTTATAAAAAATGTGTTTCAGAATTTGTCTGTATTTACTTTTTTCTACCAACAAAAAGAAGGGAAGATCCAAAAAATGATCGAAGGGAAGGGAACATTTCCCTATTTAAGGAAATTGGAAAATCATAATTACAGTAGAGCCCCTCTAATCCGAATCCCATAAGTCCTAAAGTTCGGATAATCCGAACAGAATACGCGGTGGAGGAAAAAATAAACCAAAAACACGAGATTTGCATTGTTTTATGAACGAAAAAGCAACGTAAGTTATCCTATTCTGAATTCTATAGGAAGAATACCCGTTAACAGCAGCGACAGAAACTGCGCATCAACACTTCTAAGCAAAGTAGCATCTACAATTGCATTCGATCGGTTACGTACGGTACTTACTGTATTGTCGCAACATTGCCAATTCATGTCGCTTCGGTACGTTGTCATTTTCTCACAGCACGCGCTAGGTTGCACTGTGTCTGATAATCCTCTTGGTGTATTTATTTTATGAACGGCATATTTATTCGGATAATCCAAACAGACCACCCCGCCAATTAGTTCGGAATTCTGAGGTTCTACTGTATATATAGTACTTCATATTCACAAAACATAATTGTGATTTCGGCGTTTCCGACAGACTAGTCTTCATGTTCATGATACACAATTGCCTTCGAGCCCGCAATGTAAGGTTTTGTCGTTGTTGACATTTCGCGATTAGAAATTTTTTGAAATCGCCATTATTGTTAAATTGCCAATCGCCGCTATGAAGAAAAACATACAAAGGAATTGATAACTAAACTTAATTTATATTTGTTGGTTCTGATTTAAAAAGTTGAAAAATTTATATCGCATGGCGTTTTCTTGAAAAAAACAAAAAAGTTTTACTTGCATTTTTATGAACATTTAGCATAATTTTTTTCGGTATTGCATTTCTTCCCTCCCTCTCGGCCTAAACATCATTACACTGTGGTAAAACCCACAGAAAACCCCTCTGTGAGACTTCCCCATCCAATAGTGTCGAATCCTTTTCTCAGATCTGAATCGGCAGTCACCGTCGGCAAGCGTAGTCAGCAGTCATTTCACCTCAATTTTTCTGTCATGTACAGTGTCGTGCGTGTGCTGATAGAGTGACAAGTGGAAACTGCTTCACAGAAACAATTCTCACGGTTGCGTTTCGTGAAGTTTCGAGACGTAAAACTGAGCATGAGCATTACAACTTTATCTCGCGTATTTTGGCACGAATCTAGAAGACCTAGAGAATCCTGTATCCATAAGTTTGTGTGGGTCATGAACATTTGGACTTCCTGTTATCGGACCATGAAAAGTTCAGGTTAGAAACTGAGTTGGTACAACGAGCCACTGATTGGAATGGAGGCCCGAACGTGGCATGTACTGACATTTAGAACCATCTGATATCCCTGAAAACGATAGTCTCGTTGAAGAATCACCGCTACCCCATGAAATTTCTGTCAATAGTGAAAATCCATCTGGCTATGAATCACACCAAATAATCATGCGAAATCTGAGAAAAATTCACACATGAGCTCAATCAATTAGACGTTGTCAAAAGTGGAGAAGATTCCGTGAAGAGAATCGGTTGTTTAAAACAGAGGGGAAGATACAACACAATCTGACCAACACCGCCTAGATATATATAGGTGGTGTTGATCTGACTCGAAGACCGAAGAGCAATGCTGTCCTTGCAAAATATGACTTTGAAACATCTTGAGCAGGAATCTGGAAAAAAAGCTCCTAAAAGACGTATCGTGGCTCCAATCTGAAGTTGATGCTGCCGATATACTTCTGAGAACAGTCAAACATCTTCACGAATTCTCAAAAGAGGACCTCTTCCAAGCAATGAAGAACATGGAAAACTGGAAATCACCCGTTATTAATAAGATCCAGTATTATTGTATTAAGAAATTAACAGCATTACATTCTCATCTAGCAAAAGCTGTTAATACAATTTTAGAAAATCTACAAAATCTCCCGGAATGGGGCATTCGCGGCATCTCTTATCAGCTACCCAAAGCATGAGACAGTTCTTTGGCAGAGAACAACAGGCCAATCACGCGTCTGCCAGTAACGTACGCAGTTATACCTGCAGCCATAGTCAACAAAATGAACAGATACCTCGAGAAGAACCGTCTGTTGCCAGTTGAGCAGAAAGAATATCTTGAAGTTTCCTTCAGCTGTATGGAAATCTTGCTACTACATAAAGTTACCTCGAATGAGACAAGGAAACGAAAACTCAC